TATTATAAAATATACTTAATAAGATTTAATATATATATACATATAATATATAAATTAATTGTAGTATCAATAAAATTAAGATATTATAATAGTATTTTTTATATATGTAGCTAAATCTAAAAGAAATAACTATAGCAAATTAAAAGATATATTAAAGTATATAAGAATTGTTATATAAATTTATCATATTATAATATTTTTATTTATTCAAGAAAATCAACAGAAATTAATTTCACTTATTGTAATAACAAAAAAATATATTGATAACACTTTACATATAATAATCAATAGTTTTATCTATAATTATAACCACTAGTTTTAAATAAAAAAATAGCTTAAGTGATCAATAATACTTTTCAAAAGTACTAAATAAATAAATTTACCTAAGAGTAAAAGCTTAAAAAATAAACCTCTATTTTAATATATTTTTTTAAAATTAAAAGTAAGGAATTACTTTTTTTAAGAGAAATTTCTATTACTACAAATGCTTTTATAAGGTCTTCAATAAATTGTTTTTTGGAATTAGTATTTATTTAAGTAGAGAAAAGGATAAATTGTTATGTATTATTTTAAGTTTTTTGTTTTTTTTTACATTTAATATATATTATAATATTTATTTATAACAGATCTATATTTTTATTTTACAGAAATATTGCAGTAATTATAACAAAAAATATTATTGTAAATGTAAAAAATATCTTTATATTCTTTATACCTAATATAAAACTGATACTTTTTTTTCTTTAATATTATTAAAAAAAAAGATTATTATAGGAATTTAATAATCATTTATTGAAATTAAATATATTTACTACAAATTATATATTCTAATATAGAAAGATCTAAATTATATAATTTTATGATGTGATAAATCTGAAATATGTATTATTAAATAAATTATGTGATTTATATGAAATTTATGTAATCATATCAAATTATCATTTTTGATTTGTGCTTAATTTTATATACAATTTTATAAATTGATATTTAGTATAATTTATAATATGATAAAAATGGTAATAAGACTCATCTAAAATACTTTTAACTTAGTTAGAACTTTATTTCTATCTTGTAAATTTCTAAACTGATATTTTAAATAAATATTAAAAAAGATCATATTTTTTGATGATTTATGTAATATATTTTGATATTTACTATGATCATAATAAATACTCTAATATATGAAATAAAAAATAAAAAAAGAAGTTGCTATTTTGAAATTATATGACTATTTTCTTTAAGTCTCTTTTATAAAATAAGCATTGAAAGTAATATATCAAAAATATTTAAAGATATGATAATACTCTAAATAATTTTGACTAAATTAAGATTAAGTATTTTTTTAATCAATCAATTTTTAGTAAGGGTTCTCTGATTTTATTTTGATTATATTCAGTGATTACTTATGTAATTGTTGTCACTTCAATGTTAAGAACTGTAACAGTCTCCTTATGTAATTATAAATCATAGAATTTTTTAGTATTGTCAGATACCTAAAAAATATTGGTGAATATAAATCACCATTTTTTTTATTGCTAATTAAAAAACATTTTGATCTTATTTCAAGTTTTTTATGAAAAAGAAATATAATAAAAACTGATTATATCTTCTTAATCTTATATATAATTTTTTCACATACTGGATTTGATTATCAAATCTTGTATCATAAGAGAATTTTTGTGATGATTTTAGTATATCAACTTTTTTGCATTAGACTATAAGTATAAATTTCTTGCAATAAGATGTAACTGTTTTAAAATTTAATTTTTATAGAATTATTAAGATATAATTTAAAAATTTTAAACTATGTATTTAAATAGGCAGCTAGAAGGATTTGATATTCTTATAAATGTATTGTAAAATTCAATAAAATTAAACCTTAAGATAAAGTAATATAGTATAATGTAAGAACATTTCAATAATCTAGGTCTTTTAATATTATTTTTAAAGTATTTTGAACTTAAAGATCTTACCATTCCTTCTTTTTGTCAACTCCTCTTTTTCTTTTTTCAAATCTTTTCCTGTAAGTCTTTCCTCCCCTCCTTTTCACAAATCTTCCAGCCTCTTTCCATTTTCGCTTTCTCAAACGCCTTCAACTTCTCCTTTGCCTCTTCATACACTTTTTTTGCCTTTTCCATTTCCTTTCTAATTTCTTCGATAATAACTATTTAAAATTAAAGATTAATCAAAAAGATTAATGGACAAGAAAAAGTCTATACCAAATTTATCAAAAATAGCATTGATTTATATTTGGTTACCAGCCCAGTAGCTGATGCGCAGTTTTTCTGAAAAATCAATAATCCCTTCGTCTCTTGATAGATATTTTTGTGAAACCTAAATCGATATATTTCTTATATTTCTTATTTTCGCTCGATAAAAAAATTTTTTCCCTACATTTTTTTGATTCTCAAGATGTGTTCAATTTTATTTAAATCAACACGAAATTTTTTTATAAATTCAACAAAATATAATTCATTTTACAACCATCGATCATTTACAACAGAAACTATCAATCAAAATCTTATAGAAAAAATTGTACAAAAATATGCGTTAAACTTATCACCAGGTTATAAAGTTAAAAGTGGTGATTTTGTAACTATTCAACCAGAACATGTAATGACTCATGATAATACTGCTGCTGTAATTACAAAGTAGGTATATCTTTTTACCATATTTAGAATAGACCGCAATGTGAAAAATTTATTTTAATTTATTTTTTATTTTTTTAATAAAGGTATTTTCAATTTATTTAGGTTCAAAAGTATAGGTGTATCAAAATTTAAAAATCCTAGACAAGCAGTATTTACTTTAGATCATGATGTACAAAATAAATCCGAGAAGGTAAGAATATAAAACACGTCATTAATTTAATTTTTCATTCCAAAATTTTAAACGATTATTTTAGAATTTAGCAAAATACAGATCGATCGAAAATTTTGCAAATCTTCATAACGTAGATTTTTATCCTGCAGGAAGGGGAATTGGACATCAAATACTTATTGAAGAAGGTTATGCCTTCCCAAATACTTTAACAGTAGCATCCGATTCACATTCTAATATGTACGGTGGAATTGGATGTTTGGGAACACCAATAGTTCGAACAGATGCTGCAGCATTATGGGCAACTGGGAGAACTTGGTGGCAAATTCCTCCTGTAGTAAAAGTAGAACTCAAAGGAGATTTGCCTGATGGGGTGACGGGCAAAGATATTATAATTACTTTATGTGGAATGTTTAACAATGATGAAGTTTTAAATTGTGCAATAGAATTTACAGGTGAAGGAATCCGTGGACTTTGTTTATCGGAACGACTAGCTATTGCTAATATGACAACTGAATGGGGTGCATTAGCTGGAGTTTTTCCAGTTGATGAAATTACTATTCAATGGCTTCGTAATAGAGTCGAAAGGTTGGAAATTACGAGATTTGAAAATAAAAATTTAGTACCTACACCTCCCGGGCAACCATTCAAAAATCCTAGAATAAATCATGAAAGAATTAATGAAATTGAAAAGAATCCTTTTCATGCTTCACCTGGAGCTTATTATTCTAAATACCTATCATTAGATCTTTCAACACTTTCTCCTCATATTTCTGGTCCTAATTCTGTTAAAGTTTCAACACCTCTTGTTGAACTTGAGAAACAAGATATTGAAATTCAAAAAGCATACCTTGTTTCATGTGTCAATTCGCGTGCTGAAGATTTACGTGCGGCAGCACGAGTAATTAAGGGTAAAAAAATAGCAGACGGGGTTGAATTTTATGTAGCGGCCGCAAGTAGTGAAGTACAAAAAGATGCAGAAACAAATGGTGATTGGCAAGCATTAATTGATGCAGGGGCAAAAATATTACCTGCTGGTTGCGGACCATGTATTGGTAAGTATGTATGGAAATGATTTTTTTATATTTATGTGAAATAAACAATTCTTTGTGAATAGGTCTTGGTGTAGGTCTTTTGAAAGATGGCGAAGTTGGAATTTCTGCAACTAACCGAAATTTTAAGGGTCGAATGGGCTCACCGAATGCGTTAGCCTATCTTGCATCTCCAGGTAGTTTTTTGTCAATTCATCTTTACCTTTATAATATTTTTTTTTTCTCTTATTAACAAAATCCGCTTTTTTTTTTTTTTTTAAAAAAAAAAAAGCTATTGTTGCTGCTTCTGCAGTAGCTGGTAAAATCGCAAGTCCAGCCTTCCTATCCACATCGTTTTCGTCTCGTCAAAAACAACAAATTCCAATTATAACTTATGAAGTTGATCAGTCTAAACAAAGTTCTGTAGCATCATCATTGATAACATCTACAATTCCTGGATTTCCAGAGACATTTAAAGGAGAATTGATATTTTGTCATGCGGATAATTTAAATACTGATGGAATTTACCCTGGAAAATATACTTATGTTGATGATCTCACACCAGAACAAATGGCTAAAGTAGTTATGGAAAATTATGATCCTAAATTTGCAAATTTGGTTTCCAAGGTAATACTTTATTTAATTAAATTTCTGATTATCAAACATTATTATTATTGGTTAATTCCATGATATTTATTTGTAGGGAGATATTTTAGTTTGTGGATTTAATTTTGGTACTGGATCATCGAGAGAACAAGCCGCCACTGCGATCAAAGCAAGTGGTGTTACTATTGTCATTGCTGGATCGTTTTCTGAAACATTCAAAAGAAATTCCATTAATAATGCTTTACTTTGTCTTGAAGCACCTGATCTTGTGCGTTTATTAAAAGAAAAATATAATTCAAAAGAATTAACAACACGTACAAAATTGGATGCCGAAATTAAAGTAGCGGAAGGTATTATGTTAATTAAAGGGTTAAATGAATCACAAACTGTATTTAATGTTGGTGTTTTAGGGAAAAGTGTACAAGAATTATGGGTAGCTAATGGATTAGAAAATTGGGTAAGACAGTGCGTATAAAAGGAAATTTAGGAAAATAAAATATTCAATTATAGTGTTAAAAAAAAAAATTTTTTTTCTATAAATATTCAATGAGCAGGACCAGATACTCCTCCATTAAATGAATTAGTTGTTGGATTTGTTGTAGTAGTTTGTGTTTGTTGTTTGTGCTGCTGGTTTCCACTTCATTAGTATCTACAGGATAAATTTAATTCTCACCTTCTGTAATCTCTAATGTTTCTGCTGCAGCATTATTATAAATCGTATTTGAAGACATGCCACAAAAACCTCTACGATCTCTACGTCTCATAAATAATTTCCGATTATTCTTTAATTTACATAATATTCGATCCATATATTTTTGTTTATCATCGTCAGAAAGAACAGAAGATAAAACACAAGACATTTGCAAACCGGAATTCTCGAATCAAAATCATGGAATAATTTATTAAATGTGTCTAGAAAAGGTTATGATAAAACCATTAGCGTTAGTTATAAAATATAAGGATCCTATTATTTAATTTGATATTAAAAAAATACCTTCAACTCGATTGCTCATTGGTAAAATTACATTATCTCTAAAAATCATCAGTACTAAACGTCTAATATTTATATTTTTGCTTGAAGAGCGTATAGGGTAAACCCTTTAAAGCAAGGTATCACAGTACCGAAAAAAAATTGACCAAACTAATCGAAATACAAGTTTTTTCATACATAATTCCCATTAAGTGTAAACATTTCAGATTCCAAAAGTTCATTTATATCTTCATAAAGTGAATGTAATTGTCGATCGTTCACGTAACGTCTGTTTAAATTATCCGCAAATATATATGGGACCTTTGCAATAGAAAGGGGAAACAGCCGGAAAAAATCAAAATTTACTTTTATATGCCAAATATGATTTTGTTTCCCCCTTTTCTATTGTAAAGGTCCCATATATAAGGAATGTTTGATATATTTATATTTATATATATTGAATAAATATATTTTTTTTATGATTTTATAATTACATTATCAGATCATTTAAATTTTCATTGCACATCAATCCTTCGCCATTGAATAATGGCAAAACCTTAACGACCAGAGAATTCAAAGTATCATGTTGACAACCTTGTTCCATTCTTTCAAAATCCTTAGTATTTACAGAATCGTACACGTAATCATGCAGAAGCGGAATTGGATCGTGAATCAATGATGGAGAATTTTGTTGATGAAGTAAATGAATTTTTAAACCATCAACATCCTTCAGGGTGTAAGGATTATGCATAATGCGGGCCAAACGTCACGTGATCGATGAATTTCTGGGTAGTTTATAATTTACCATATCTCACGTGATTAACTCCGCTTTAGACATCCCCAAATAGGAAGTCAAAAAATAAGTCTACAATTATGATAAATTCCCTACTTGCAATACTACTTGTTATCAACACCAGTCGAGGACACCAATTCGTTTTTAATTATCCCAAGGTTCCTCAAAGGCGCGATGAAATTGACCAAGTTAGAAAAGAAAATGAAGTTGGAGACGATTTACTTGAAAACGATGTAATAACGTGGCCCTATGGTGCAACTGAGGACGTTGACAAATGGTCTCTTCGTTCACGAATTGAAGAAGAGGAGGAGTATAATATTAATTCAAACAAACAGGTTAATAATAGTACCGGAAACGATGACATTGAACGCAATGAAATATTTAATAAATTATTTGGATTTGAAACTTGGTTATTGGCAAATATTCTCTGTCCTAAAAATAATGGGTTGACAAAATTCCAACTTTCAATTGATGATCTGACTTTTGTTGGGCAACCAGTTTTTCTTAAAACGGAAGTTGATACCAAAGAGAGAGAAACTTATTGTAGAGAAAGAAAAAAGAATGATGATTTTGATAACGGTAATGGTATAGATTTAAATGAAGAAGGATTGCAAGAACAGTTATCTAGACTTGGTTGTTCTGATGCGTCAAATGAAGAAATGCCTACTCAAATATCTTCTAATGTTGCATCCGATAATAGCAACTCTTCTTCGAATCATTCTATTCAACGACATCTACACTTTTTCTTTCATCTTGTGTTTGTTCTTGAACCACCTGAATTGGATTTATGTAGACAAGTAGATGATATTTACAAAAATGTTATTACAAAATTAACTGAAGCACTTCGATATGAACAATTACGATGTGACTTTGTCAGGAAAGAAGCTGAATTAATAATATCTTTAAGAGAAAATCCTGGTATGTATATAAATGTTTTTTGACTATATTCGTTGACATAATAAATGATATTTCAAAATAATAGGTGTATCTACCCCGGACAAATTAATGGAAATTATATTGGAAAAAAGTTCGTTAGCACGATCTATTTGCAAAGTGTATGATGCAATTTCAACTGACAATATTGCACATATACTTATAAATGACTACATTGATTTATCCTTACAAATTCCTCCACTTTCTCCGACCATTAATCCTTCTGATAATACTGATAATGACATGATTAGATATGAGTATGCTCATTATCCCGTTATTGCTCCATATCATACTCTGCTGCTTCTGGAAGATCCAGAAGAAATTCTTAAAAATATGCCATTAGATGCTAATCCAACATTGGTTCAGTTGGTACAGATTTTGACCCCTACACAACGGTATGAAATAATGTCAAATTGAATTTTTTTTTTTTTTAAAAAAAAAAAAAGCGAATCCCTGATATTTTATTGTAGATTGGCCGACTTATGTACTGTGTTAGATTGTTCTTTGGCACAGATATTTCGAATTGCGGCACATTTGATATATTGGCAAAAAGCGAAGATAATCGATGTTATTAGTGTTCGAAATGTCTATGTTGTTTCTCCTACCGCGGATATGAACTCGTAAGAATATTTGTATTTATATAATTATAATTTACTTTTCAATGTTATTTAAACTTATATATCTTTCTTAATCCTTGAGGTTACCAATTTATATTGAATATTTCAAACAACACTTTCCTGCTCTGGACCTTGTGACAATTCTTGCATCACTCTCCACTCCTAAGCCATACTTTATAAATGCTATCACGTCCAAAGAGAATCGCACCATGTATCTCGAGGCTATAACTTACTTGTTGAGAAAAGACCTTGTTGTACAATTACACGCATATATTTTAATCATGATACCACAATATATAAAGAATGGATTTACTCGGGCAGAGTATGAGGAAAAATTGAGAAATTCCGGGAACAGCGAAGGTTATGATCATACAGCTGTTGATATATATGTTCCCTCCTCTTCGGCAGACGGAAGAGGAATTTGTAATTCGGCAAGCTCAATGGATGCTACCGCTTTAATTTCCCCTTTTGAAAAGGCATCAGACAGTGAAAGGGAATGGTTATATAACTTCGTAACAAATCATCCTAAAGAAACCGTTACACTTTTCGAGAGGTTTGTAAAAAGTCAACGTAGTTATAATCACTTATAATTGTTTTAGTTTATTTATCAATTTCGTATGCTTCCTCATTAAAGATTAATCAAATATTTCAATGGAAAACATCATGTTGAAGAAATTCTCTTTCGTGAAACTATAAAACCGAGAGATTTAGGTAAAGTATTAGGTCTGTTTAGCAAAGACGAATTGATTACAGTTTGGTGTTAAAGGATTAGACTCTTTTTTTTTCTTATGTATTTGATCTTGTAATTTTAAAAGATATTTATATAAATATAAATAATAATAAAAAAAAATAAATACGAATAAAAAAACATGCTGCGTAAAGTCACGAGATTATAAGGAAAAAAAAATTAAAATAAACTTCCGCATCGGGGAATCGAACCCCGGCCTTCCCGGTGAGAGCGGGAGATCCTAACCACTAGACTAATGCGGATGATTGTTTATTATAATGTTAAAAATTTTTATTTGTAGAATTTCACGATCGCAATATAGGAAATAATTTTTGTTAATCATATCTTCAATTGTTAAAATTTTGCCATATCCTATTTTGGTATGGCTTTATTTTGGAACTTTTTTTTGAGAATATATGACTCCTCTCTTTCCGTATCGAGAATGTATGGAAATTAATTAAATATTAATTGATTGTCGTTCGCGCATATAACAATAAAAACCACCGTTCAAGTAAATTCCAAATTTTGAATTACCATATAAGGAATTCGGTAAGTGTATTTTTTTGACTCATTGTGTAACTTGGTACAACGCGCAATGTTTATTTTCATAGTTGGGGGGTTTTTTTTCAAAAAAAAAAAAATTACTTACAGGTTAATACTTTCTCAATCACAAATAAATCAAATAAATCACCTTTCCTACTCTTTATTAGAGGGTATTTAAATAATTTTATGGTACTTTTCAATGATTTCGTTTAATTTTATAAAGAAAATTCTTTGAAAGTTTTTAGATGGTTTAATCTATTTTATTGCGTAAAATTTTTTGAAAACAAAGAAAAAAAAAATACCAAAAAGGTATATTATTATGATGTCAGATACAGCGTCCTCACCCTTAGATACGTCTTCTCCTTCTTCATCGTCGTCTACCCTAGCCACGACTCCTAATTTTTTACATGCAGATCTAAGACGTTCGTCATATTTCTCAACGGCATGTAATAACCCATATCCTACCAAAGCTACAGGGGTTTCGCTTAGTTGTTTAGTAAATGCATCAGTGACTGTTGTTCCTAATTATAATGATAATAAACCACCAAATTATGTTTACGTATTTGGTGGATTTAATTTATACACTGATGAAGTTTATAATGATTTATATAGGTTAAATGTTTCTGAAATGAAGTGGGAGGATGTAATTTATTTAAAGGGCGTACGTCCTTCAAAGCGAACTAATCATTCTGCTTCTTTATGGAATCAAGATAAGATAATAATTTTTGGTGGGACTGATGAACAAGATCAAAATTGTAACGATATAGTTATTTTGGATTTAAAAACTATGACTTGGGAACGTCCTGAAGTGAATGGATATATTCCGTTAGGACGTGCAAAGCATTCAGCTAATATACACAATGATAAACTTTATATAGTTGGAGGTTATTATATAAGTGAAGAAGAGGAGAATTCGGTATCATCCGATGTTAACTGTTTAAATTTACAAACGTGGACATGGGAAGATCCGATTACATTGATTCCAAGACATTCGCACGTTTCATTCATTTATCAGAATCGTCTTCATGTATATGGAGGTTATAATGAGGAAATGGATAGAGAGAAGTCGCTTGTTATTTTAGATCTTCAAACTCAACAAGTTTCAAAGATAGAAATTACGAGTGATTCAGGACCTGAAATGAATGGACAACATTTCGCTCAATTGTATTGGAATCGATTAGTTGTGGTGGTAACACAGAGTTTGAAAGTTGAAGCGCAGGAAGGTTCAATCGGAGTTTGGGCTTTAGATTTGAATTCTTTTCAATGGCATCAATTTGAGGATGGTGATCGTTTTGTACAAGGAAATTGGCATTATTTTGCTATGGCAGAAAATTGTCCAAGGTTTTTCTTATTTGGAATAGATGAAAAGGAGTCCGATGAGTATTTTTCAAATGTTCTTTCGGTTGACCTTCAAGAATATGGTATTTCGAGAATTCCACCTCCAACCATTGGGTGGGATTTTGCACAATTATTAAATGACGTAAACACTTCAGATTTTACCATTAAATCAAATGAAGAAGATAGTCCTGTCATTCATGTTCATCGAATTATTCTTCTTGCCAGATGGCCTCACTTTGGTAATATGATTAATTCAGGAATGACGGAATCATTTAATTCAACTTTAACAATTCCTGAACCTTATGATATAGTTCAGGCTTTTATTTCTTACCTTTACACTGACATCATTGAAGGACAACTATTAATTGATACAGTTGCAGACCTTATGGTGTTGGGTAATATGTATCTTATTCCACGTTTGACATCACTTTGTTGTGCTCGTCTACAAGAGAACATTAGTATAGAGAATGTTGCTAAAATTTATCAATCTGCTTCAGTCGCTGGAGCTCATCCTTTAAAGAAAAGGTCAATGAGATTTATCAACACTAATTTCGGTCCAGTTTCTAAAACACAAGGTTTCAGGACTTTACCGAAAGAGATATTGTTTGATTTCTTGGATAGTTTGCCGGAAAAGGCGAAAATTAGCGTCGAATGACATGAATGACACCTTTTTGGTAAGTTTATAAATTTTTACTAAAATCAAAATTTTTTCATACAATTTTTAATATTAATTTCCACAGCTTTTAACAAGCCAAAGAGATGACGATTTATTATAAAAATGAATACGAATTTAAAGATTCTGTAATGTCCTGCAAATTTTTTT